TAAATGCACCTGTCAACAATTATGTAGAACTACCTGTCTACAATTAAAATCCTTTATATTTTACCTCAATAATTGTATAAAAACTCAGAAAATTCCATTCATATTGATATGACAAATAACAATAAAAATCCCACAAAAACTCAGAACTGTGGCGTCAATTCCAACTCGAGTGGCCCTGGAGTCAGTAGAGATGCTCTCTGGGGCTTCCCAGGGTACATATTGTCAGGATCTCAACCGTCTCCCCTGGTGGGGGCTGCTGGAAACACTGACCTCTGCTTAGCAGCCTGCGTTGGGCCCACTGGGCCCCCAGCACCCCTTGTTGACGGGATCTATCCTTCAGTTGACCGCTGCGGCCACAAACCCAAAAGCAATAGTAACGTTGACAGTGTGATTTCAAAATTCAGATCCCTCCAATCCATTTTCTACACATGCTTCATGCCAAAAGGCGTTCATTTCTAGACATGTTAATGTAAAGGTCAGTTCATTTCTCTAAAGGCATTACTGTTTAATTCTGATTAAAATACATGTGTTCAAGCTCATTTTAGCAAATCACCTTTGTGAGAATTATAGCATATGCCCAAATCTCAGTACTGAGAAACTTCAACTTTCCCAAGCATTAACTCAACATCTGTTGTGTATGTTCTGCTCAACCAGATGCTACAGCTCTGGGAAAGAGGCAGAAAACACAAGGTCTGTGTTTGTACTTGGAATCCAGACGAGACACATGGGCCGTGGATCTAGTGCAAGATGTAAATAAGCACCTACCGGCGTGCTGTGTATGGTGCTCATTATGAGGGGCTGTGGAGATGAGTGGCGTAGTGGTGATGTGTCAGGCTGCAAACCGCAAGGTCAGCAGTTCCACCACCAGCTGTTCCGTGGGAGAAAGAGGAGGCTTTCTACTCCCCTAATAAGTTACAACCTTGGAAACCCATAGGAGCAGTTCTGTCCTGTCCTGTAGGGTCACTGTGAGTTGGCATGGTGACTGGATGGCTGTGGTATTGGTTTGGGGAGTTGATAGAGGTTGGGTCAAGTTTTGTTAGAAGATACTTCTGGCAATTAATTTTGAGACTGATTGTCATTTTATACAATTTTTGATTTTGCCCTCTCATCAGCTCACTGCCATTGAGTTGATTCTGACTCACAGAGACCCTGTAGTAGTGGTTCTCAACCTTCCTTCCTAATGCTGCGACCCTTTAATCCCATAAACTTATTTTTGTTGCTACTTCATAACTAATTTTGCTACTGTTATGTATTGGGCGATTCTTGTGAAAGGTTTGTTTGACCCCCAAAGGGGTCATGACCCACAGGTTGAGATTCACTGCTCTGTAGGATAGAATAGAACTGCCCCTGTGAGTTTCTGAGACTGTATCTCCTTAGCAAAGTTGAGAGCTTTATTTTTCTTCCTCTGAGTGGCTGGTGGTTTTGAACTGCTGGCTCAGTAAGCTTATAATTAGACAAATATGTTGGTGCTAATTTAGCATGTGTCTGCTTTTCTGTTCTCTGATTGATAGAAAACGAAATTTGGTAGAGCGGTTTGAGGAGCAGAGTCCTTCCATCTGTTCTGAGCCCTCGGCAGCAGGGCAGTGGTGTCACTGATAACCTGCTTTGAGGGCGGAGCAGCGGCTTTTGTGATTTAGTGTTGCTCTCAGTTCCATCAGGCACTGCCGGTGAACCACCGACATGATCTCACTGTAGTGATATTTCTGTTCACAACCACTGGAGCCAAATGTCGTAGGTAATAAATTATTGTTGGTGAGGATTATCTGTGCTAAAATGTTCCCTTATGGTACTGTCCCAGGACGTGACACTTAGACATTTGCTAGGAGGTGTTTTGTGATTTCTGCAACACATTTGGTCTGTATTTTCGAATGCATGTGATTAATGAAGAAAAGTTATGCTTTTAAGCAATGTTTAACTTCCAACATGTTTCAATAGGTTCGAATTGAGCAAGTGATAGTGGCTGAACCCGGAGCAGTTTTATTGTATAAAATTTCTAATCTCCTCAAATTTTACCACCATACAATTAGGTAAGTGGAATGGCGAGACACACTTGCTGAGTTCCTGCGGTAGCCCCTTTAACTGAGAACACAGTGAAGGCGCCTTGCGTTTTCCCAGAGTGTCGGACTAAGTACAACTAGCCAAACCTCTGTCTCCTATGTACTGTCACACGATGTGCCCCGTACAAGTGTATTCTCTTGAGTTCTCGCATTTCCTTTTTCCTTCCCTCTCCAAGAACAACAGCACACAGACACACACACAGACACACACACACCTACCCGATAGAACACTATAAAGTATCTGTTCAGTCTTCCTGCATTTGCAAGTGAGACCCAGGCTAACTAAAGCAACGACACATTATACTAAAAATAGGTTGTAATAAGTAAAGTGTCCTATTCTGGATGTGAGGAGCCTAATTCCTCCTTGCACATGTCGTTCTATCAGTGGCAAAGTAGCTTCAGCTTCTCTGCATAAAAGCTGCTTAGCTAAAATGTGATATTTGACTCCACCATTTGAATTCATTTTTTCATGGCATACATTTGTTGGGCTTCATCAAAATGTCAATATAAGGCTGTGTTATAAGAATTTAAGAGAGTGAACCAAAGGTATTGCTTTGGGGTTTCAGTTCATACATTCACAGGTTTATTCCAAGCAGAACATGATTGAACATGTCTGCCATCTGTGGACGGCTGCAGTCAAGATCTCTCAAGAAGATTCCTAACTTGTCTTGGTCTTATTAGAGCGCCTTCAAAAAGAAGGAAAGATTAATCACAGCAGTGGCTTCTAAGGGGATCTGCTGGACCAGTTAAGCTCAGCTAATAAGCTTTAGGGACTTTTGGGATCCCCAAGGGGTGGTTTCGATAGATTTTCTTGACACAGCACAATTAAGAAACTTATTATGAAAACTTTTCAAGAGAATTGAAAATGAACTGATGAGAAAAAGGCCAGGTAAAAGGCAAGGAATTTTTTTCCCATGAAAATAGTGTACGTACTTATTGTTTAAGGGTAGAAAGGGCTTTCCTATAAGAATTTACTTGGAAAATCAGGAAGTCCTAATATTGCTCCTTCAGGCTCTTTGTTCTCAGTGTAAACAACTAGATGGAGCATATGTGGAGAAACAGTTGCTTCACATTAAAAACGTTTTTTTGTTTAATGAACATTCCTATGATTTTGTGTACAATTCTTTTTGGCGTACTCTGATATATAGAGCTGAGTTAGACTGTGTTTCAGTGATGATGATACTGTATTTTTGATAGTTTTCATATTTTTCCATTGAAAAGTGAGTCAAATATTACTTTGTATCCAATGTAGTCATATCAGGAATAGAAGGTTTGATCATGTTGTTGCAGTTTCCCACCTCTCCACGCCCACTCTCTAACCGCTTCCCTGACCACGCCACCGTACTTCCGCCCGCTCTCCCAGCCGACACCTCTTGCTGTCCTCTCCCTCCTCCTCCAGTCTGGCCGGGTCGCTCTTCGGACTGACTCCTGTGTGGCTGTCTGCCGCAGCGTATCCTCACTGTCCTGCTTACTCCCTGGCGTTGGAGCCCGGATTCCCTGGCCAACTCTGAGAACGTAAACATTTCCTGGAGCCTGGATAGGCCTGTGTTCCCAAGCCTGGAGAAGGTGAAGTGTGGGTGTGTTGTGGTTCCATTTCAGGGTATTTACATGTAATAGCTTGCAATGGATGCAGTGCGTTATATGACTTTTTACCCTGGTTCTTTAAGGAGCTCTGGCAGAGTAGTGGGAGAAGGACAGTCTCAGAACCTCATGGGCAGTTCTGCCCTGTTCTGTAGGGTTGCTATGAGTTGGTATCAACTCTATGATAGAGTTTGGTTTGGGCTTGGATGTATAGTGGGTTTAGCATTAGGCTGTTAACCACAAGGTTGACAGTTCAAACCCACCAAGTGCTCTGTGGGAGAAAGATGGGCTTTCTGCCCTGGAAATATTTATAGCATTGGTTACCAAACTTGTTTGACCCACCAGCCCTTTTTCCAAAAAAAACCCCGATTACTCAGTACACCCCACCACCCAGGGTCATTAGAAACTTTTATATTCTAGCCCATACTCCAGGATAAGGTGTAAGTAGCTGTTTTAAAAGCCCCCATGGCATGTTCCAGTGAGCCCCAGGGGACTGTAGTGCCCGTTTTGGGAAACATTAATTTACAGCTTGGAAACTGGTGGAGTATATCTCCTCCGTCCTGCAGTGCTGCTGTGAATGGGATTTCTGGACTTCGGTTCTTTAGAACAAACAAGAAACTTAGGCGATATTCCCCCTAACCCTGAGCAGTTAGTGCCTTTGCCCCAGTTCCTTGGAGAAGCCACGGGAGGGTTTCCCGGAGCGCTGCTTCTCCCCGGAGAGTTTGCTGCTTTCGCTCCACAGAGGACCCAGATTCTGCTGGCAGGAAATGCTGTGCTTTGTAAAATCCTGACTTGATTTTCATCTCATGGGTTCTTGCTGCCTGGCGAGGGAAGCCTTACTTTGACTGGCTATCTAGAGGGCGGAAACACAGGTTTTCAAGACCTCCTAGTGGATATGTGTTGGACTGCTAACTGGCAGTGTCACCAGTTTAAAACCACCAGCCACTCCTTGGGATAAAGGTGAGGCTCTCTAACGCCTGCAAAGTGTTAAAGCCTTAGAAACCCACAGGGGCAGTTCTGCTTTGTCCTGTAGGGTCACCATGAGTCAGAATTGACTTGCTGGCAGTGAGTTTGGTTTTTGGTTGACAGCAGCTGGGAGAGGAGTGTGCCCTTTGGGACAAGGTGACCCTGTGCTTGAAACCCTCTCGGGCTTCAGTTTTAAAATCTGCACTTGAGAGATCTGCTGGCATGCAAGCAGAGCTTTGTGAGAGCGGAGCAGTCTGAAGCTGCTATGCTGACTGTGGGCTGGGGGCCGGAAGTGGGAAGACTGATGGCAGAGAAGCCTGGTGGCAAAGAGACCTGATAGTAGAGAGGCCTAATGGAAAGCAGGGGGTAATGCTAAGAAAGGAGCAGCTGAGAGAGCTGAGCGGGCTGCTATGCTGGCTGTGAGCTGGGCCAGTTGGCAGTGGAGCAGCCCAAAGGCAGAGAGCTTCACTGGGAAATTTGAGCAAAGAGCTAAAGTAAAGAGGCCAGCAGTGGAATGGCCTTTCCAGCAGAGAAGGCAGCGAGCTGGCAGAGAAGCCACACATGTTGATTATTGGTTAAGGGCAGTGGCATTAGGATAGAACAGTCTTGAAACGGGTACATCTTACTTTGTAACTGACTCGTGCTCATGGGCTTTATTAGGGAAGTTGGTTGGTTACAGTTCAGGATCAGAAAAGCTAAAGACACAGCTCTTTGTCCAGGACAGGTTTTCCAGACCTCTCTCTGGCCCTTGGCGTCTCAACCATGTTGCCCCGTGACCTCTGCCCTGCTCAGGCAATGTTGCAAAATCTTTTTCAGGGCTGCTAATAAGTGCTCAGTAGGTTCCCCACTCTTCTATCAGACTTAGCCCAAAGGCAGTATGTTTGTGTTTCAGCAAACCTTGCTCCCCCAATTGAGTGCCTGGAGGCACCCACTCTGAACCCGCCTCCTGACTGAAGGCGCTTAGCTTTGCGTGCTCTGTGGCTGGGAGGTCCACTGCTGTGTCTTTTTCTCTATTTTGTTTTTGTGTGTGTGCCTTTTCTTTTTCTTTTGCTGTTACTGCTTGCTGTCCTGGATTGACGAGGCTCAGTATGTAGGGATCTCGCGGTCCAAAGACATGCTCCATTCTTTACTCTTCTTTCTTGATGGTAGTGAGATCCCTTCTGCTTCTGAACGATCTCATTTTGTACCCAGCAGGATGGCAAAATGGGCCAATTCCCACATTAGAGTTCCAGTCACAGTGAACCTTGTTAGCAGTCACTCACAAATGAGTCAGCATCTTAACAGTACCTTCCCTCACCCTCTTTGACTCAGACCCACCAGGAAAAAGTTGGTTCAATGAGAGTAACAAAGAATATTGCTAGAAGAGCCATTGCAAGTAATTTCAGTGCCTGACAAATTTTGTTTGGTTTCATTACATTTTCTTGCTCTGTTGCTTATGCTCGTATCACCGCCCCCCTCCCTCTCCCTCCCCCGCCCACCTCATGGAAGTACTTATTTTCATTGTATGTGTTAGAATGCTTTCCAATTTATTTTGGCATTTGGTTTATACTATTTTTTACTGAAATACCTTTTTTGTTTTCTATCAATAAAATTATTATGGCTACCTGTTTAGAAATTTGTCTCTGGCTACTGATTTTATCTGTCTGTTTTTGTTTTTGCTTCTGCTTTTACTGATAATTTGCTTTATCTGCATGATTTATATAGGAATACAAACTCATGATAATTTTAAAACATATTAAAATACATGGCATTAACATTTACTTTTATAATATATCATATATGGTATAATATCTATCAATTAATTCCATATTTTTAGCTAGTTGCTTATCAGGATTTATTAATGCTATTGTATTTTTAAAACCTACCTAGTAGTCTACTTTTTATTCTATGTATAGATAGATTGTTGTGACTTAAGGCAGTATGATTTTTTAATAAGATTAAAATCTATTTGTATATCAACAGAAAATGTCTCAATATTTTAAAATAACTTTTAGTACATGAATTAGAAGGATTAGATGAATAAAATTGGAAAATATTTTGTATAAAAGGTTGACTTATGTCCTGGCACAAATGGAAACCTCCTGGGATGAGGTCTAAAAATATCCTTATAAAGGCAAGTTGAGGAATGTAGACCATGCAGTGTAATTGTTTCATAATATCTGCTTTTTCATAATTATTAGCATAAATATAGTGTCATTTAGGCAACTGTGTAAATTTGAGAAACTATGTAAGGCATTGATATGATTGAACAGTTTTGATTAAAGAATGAATGCCACAGAATTAATAAAATAGAAGTATTTAAATTTCAAGTATTTCAGTGCTATAATTGGTATAAAATATGTTATTTCAAATTATATGTACAATGAAGACAAAAAGTTAATAGAGTTACTGAGAAGATCAAAGACACGACTTCATTGTGGATTATACTTAATTGTAATGAAAATGGGAAATGTCACAACTAGACCAGCAGACATGATAAACAGGAAAAAAAATGGTGAAAGTTGCTAAGGATTTCATCTTACCTGGGCTCACAATAAATGCTCAGGGAAGCAGCATTCAGGAAGCCAAGTGATGGTTTGCCCTGGGTAAATCCGATGCACAAGAAGTGTTAAAAACCAAATAGACTTTGGTAGACAAAGGTGTACGTGACCCAAGCCTTGGTGTTCTCGGTCCCTTCACGTGCATGTGAAGGCTTGGGAAATGGATAAGGAATAACACAGAGTTGATAGATTACGTGCTGGCACACAATTCTTAATGTACCGTAAGGCTGTCAGAAGACTAAGGAGCCCTGCCGGGGTACTGGTTATGTGTTGGGCTGCGATCTACAAGGTCAGCAGTATGAAACGACTAGCCACTTTTCGGGAGAAAGACGGGGCTGTGTAAGCTTGTAAGAAGTTACAGTTTCGGAAACCCACACGGGCAGTTCTGCCCTGTCTTAGAGGCTCACTATGATTCAGTATTGATTCAATGGCACTTGAGTTTGGTTTTGGGGTTTTTTTGGCTAGAAGAATGAGTAAATCTGTCTTTGGCTCGAAGAATGAGTAAATCTGAGATGTACACTCAGAGTAGTTACTAGAAGCTGGTATGTTGAGACAGCCTTACTTAACTTTGGACATTTTGTCAGAAGGGAAAAAGAGTGGAGAAGGACGTCTTCTAGGTAGAGGATCAGTGCGGAAGAAGAAGACTGTGAACGATGCTGTGTCGTACTTAGGGTTGCTGTGAGTCGGAACCAGCCAGACGGCACCTAGCGACAACAGCATCGATGGAATTACTACTTAGAATTAAAGTGTAAAGAATTTTCATTTACTCAAAACCAAGTCTACAACAAAGGCAGGATAACGATAGGTTTTGATGTATTTTGAGTGTCTGTTCTAACCTGCAATTTTGCTAAAGAAGTCGTGAAATATAAATCGTGGTTGTTTGGGTTCATTTGTTTTATCACTTAACTCAAAAGAAAAAAAATTAGGTTTTAGTATGAAAATTAATTGTTTTCAATTTCTAGATTGTATTCTTCACCAACTCTTTATTTAAGCTTAGTGGGGTTTTGTTTGTTTTTTAAGCATTTTTTTCAAAGAATTGCATTGTTTCAGCCTGTTTTCACTTCGGACTACTTTTGCTTTCAGTGGCATTGTTGGGAACAGCGCAAGCACCTTGCTGACTACTGTTGAAGAAATGCATTTGCTAAGCAAAAAAATATTCTTCAATAGCTTGAGTCTTCATGCAAGCAAATTAATGGACAAGGTATCTTTTAAAAATGTAATTTTTCCACTGTGCGAATGGGACTTGTTCACATTTAAAGATGTTGTTTCTGTGTTTTTCCATCGGTGATGATTTTTCCCCCCATTTGATACAATGCTCTTTCGAGTTCCTTCCTCTGAACAACGGCATTCATTATAGTCTGTGTTCCTAGAATAGTAGAACATTGAGTCATAATTGAGGCAGATTCCTCAATCTGTAATTCCCTGTCATTTGCTATGACCAAAAATGTGTAACTAAGGCAAACGTCCTGTATTTACATGACAACTCAGATGATAGCTGGATTGGAAAACTGGAGTTCCCATGGGATATTTTTCTTAAGCATTTTATATTTTTACCCTTTAATGTACCAGCTTTTGTCTTTATCAAACTTGTACTCTTCTGAGTTACATACTGTAATTAATTATTAGAACAAATCAAAAGCACTGTACACACAATGCACCCATCCCCCACCCGCCACCCACCCCCACACAGGCAGCATCAGACACCTAGAGTAGACTTGTGAGTCTGGACCTTAAGGAATAGGTTAACAGTGATCAAGTCCTTCTTTATTTTTACTTTATTACAGAAGATTCAGACTTCCAAGGATATAGTATGTAGTATTACGTTATGGGGGGGTGAGGGGCCAGCCCCTACCCACTGCTACTATTACTCACAGGTTCAGTAATGCACAATTGTACTGTTGAGATATATAAGTATTATATTAAAGTCATCGAGAGCATGAGAGATATTACAATAATGCAGTCAGACACATTACATGGTAGCATTGCTCACCTCAGCCCAGCTTGGTGGTCCACGTGGAGAGAGGGGGAAGGGAAGGAGGGCAAGGGAACAAGGGAGAGAGGAAGAGAGGGGAGCCAGAGAGAGAGGTCAGAGAGCTCTATATTGCTGACCCACGCCTATATACCTTTGGGGGGCATGCTAGCCCACTAATGACAAGTAGAGACATACGTCACTGGGAGGGGCTGCACTATAGGTTACACAGCAATGAGAAGGGGTGGTCTAGGGACATACACACAATAGGAAGAAGAGGGATTGGGGTATACACGTGACAAGATGGGCGGATCCCAGTTTCAGGATGGCAGCCTAACTTCAGATGTCACAGAGCTGGTTTGGCCTATTCCAGGCCCAACTGATAGAGACCATTATCAGTAGGATACGAACTCCGCCCACAGGAGTCTGTCCATTGTCCCCAGCAGCAGGGAGCAGGCCCAGTGCAGTCTGGCAACTGATTCCCCTCAGGAGGGAATGCTTGCGCATCTGACCTTCCCCCACAATAGTATATGGTTAGCTTTTTAAAACAATCAGTCTAGATAATAGGTTGGCTATATTAGAAGTTTTGTAATGTAATATAAAACAATAGCAATTCAATTTAGAGTGTCTGGCCAATCTTTACTCTCCGAAACTTGGAGAACCTTTAATAAGATTTTGCTTCCAGACCTTCATGCATAACACAAATTCTTCTTGTATTTGTAAAACTATAGAATCTGCTTCTATATATTTTCTTTTTAATATATTTCTGTTTGCACAGGGGTAAACTAAAGATTATTTGTAATTGGGTATATATCAAGGCAAGTAAAAAAATATTGCTATGAAGGTGTGTTAGTCTGGGTAGACTAGAGAAACAAATCCACAGAAAATCATGTATATAAGATGGAGTTTTATATAAAGGGTGAGTGTACATTAAGAAAGCATCCCAATCCAGTGCTGTCCAAGCCCATTAGTTCGACACCGATCTACAAAGTCCTCCTTAATCTCACAGAACACATGCAGTGACGCCGACTGCAGGAGGAAATCCGGATCAGTGTGTGTGTAAGGATCTCAGCGCTGGCAGGGGTCTCCACACGGCTGTTCCAGCACCCAGGGCTGCATGAGGGTAGGTCCATGTGGCTTCTCCTCAGGGATGTCTCTCAGGAAGTGAGCCTTGCCAGCTGAAGCAGGGAACTGGCTAAGGCAGCTGCACCCTGGTCCCACCATCAGAGAGCAAGAGACCCGAGAACTAGAAAGGCGAGGCTCACTGAGCCATTTATCTCTCCACCCTTCAATTAATCCCACATGTGTTTATCGGCCAGGTTGGCACGATAAACCTTAACTATCTCATAGGGTTTTAAGGCACTCATGATGGCAGGGTGGTTACGAATTGAGCTACTAACCGAAAGTTGGGCATTTCAAAAGCACCAGCCACTCCACAGGAGAAAGATGAGGCTTCCTACTTTTGTATAGAGTTACAGTCTTGAAAACACTCAGGAACAGTTCTACCCTGTCCTATAGGGTCACCATCAGTTGGCATTGACAGTACGTTAGCAAGGTTGAGTTTTTTTACTAGGTTTCCAGTTCACATTTCTGTATCTCTATATGTAGTGTATGCATGGGTCTGTTCCAAGCGTGTCTCTGTGATCAGTGGATGGTTGCAGACAAATTATTTTAGTAATCTATTCTTCTTTGCAAAGAGGGAGATAATAGGCTTATGGATTTAGATAGGTGAAGAAGGGAATATGCAGAGGCCATTCTAAGTAGTTGATGCAAATAGAATATGCTAAAATGAAAGCTACAGAAAACCAATAAACAAATGTTCTACTCATGAAAAAAAATCACTGAGCTGGAAGCCTCAGAATTTGGTGATTGATTGGATAGGGGTGAAAGGGAAGAGTCTAGGATAAATTGCTGTTACCTTCCTGGGTATCCTTGATACTACTCACAATGATCTAGAATACAGATGGATACCATCTGAGGATAAAGATTATGGTATTAGTTTTAGACACGTTGGGTATGAGGTACCTATAAAAGATCTTTTAGAATTTATCTTACGGGATAAGCTATACACAATGTCTCATATATATATGTATAGTAATATATATATATATAGTAAAAGAGATCGTAGAATCCATGGATGTGGATAAGTCACCAAGGATTGTGTTTTTGACATATTTTATAAGAGTTTTGGGAAACACTGGCATTACAGAAGAGAAATGAAACTCCTGTAGGATACTGACAAGGAATGACCAAGGTGGTAGGACGGAAGGGAGCAGAAAATTTTGTTAAGAGACATTAGGAGAAAATAACATTTTAAGAAGGAGTAGGGCTTGGTTAATACAGACACATGCTATATAAAGGGAGCTCATAAAGTAACGAGAGCGGGTTTGGACCAGTGAGGACCATTTCAGTCATGTAGTGAGTACAGTGAACGTCCATAGACTATAAAAACTCAGTATAAAAGTATAGTGTGAAAGTGCATAGAGAAGTCTGCTGCCTGAAGCTGCTCCAATTGGATAACCTAGGCATTCATACTAAGAAATTTGAAAGAGAAAAATGAAACAAATTTCTTTTTGAATTGTATTTGTCACTTTATATTCTCTTAAAATTGATTCACGTGTTCAGGCACAAAGGTTTTTGGCAGGAGCCCTGTGGTGGTGTAGCGTGTTCGGGTCTGGACTTCTAGCTGCATGAGAGATGATGAGTGAGGCTGTCTGTTCTCCTAAAGATTTCCAGCCTTAGGTAGACACTGGCCAGTTCTGCTCTGTCCAACAGGGTCACTATCAGCCAGAATCGAGTGCAGGGCAGTGTGAGATGGTTGTTTTAGCAGAGGTTTATCTATACTGTTCTCTGAAAGGTTTTAATGATTTATTTGTGTTGAATGCTTCTCATTTCTGATGTAATAGTTTTAAGTTTTCTCCCCATTATCCATGTTTAAACTTGATAAAAATTAGTTAGTTTTGCTGAGCTGTCCAACAAATTGGCAGTTGATTTTCCATTTTCCAATTTAACCCAGAGATTTTCTTTCTTCCTATTTATGAATCATTGTCTGCTTCAGAAATTCAAGTGACTCAACTGACAAACTGTCGGACCAATAAAAATGTAGTTAGGCAGTTTATCTTAACTGACAGTGCAACCAGGATGCTTATCCTTAAAACAAATAAATTAATTTAACCACTTTTTATTTCATTTTTACCTGCCTAAGTTTACTTTTGTTCATGTTCAGAAATAAGGATCTTATTGATTTTTTCTTAATGGTCATCCATTTTTTGCTGTATTTTCTTTGCCAACTACTAAGTCTAGCTGTTTGCATCTATACACATGAGAATGAAAGTTGTGAGGCTGTGGGACATTTTAATAGGCAGTAAATGTGAGGTGTAGTCCTGGCATCTTTCACTTAAGACCTTGAACAGAATAGGTTGAAAACAGGAAAGAAAGCAATTGTAATTTGAAATGGGAATTTATTAAGAGCCAGTTAATAAGGTTTATAGCAGTGAATGGGACCCCTCTTGATTTATTAAGGTCATTAGCTGTTGTTGTTTTGGTATTATTATTTTATTGACAATTGTGCTCTGAACTTTTTTTTCTCAGGTAACTATTGGCCAGGATTAAGGAAGATGTCATTTATGTGGGATTATTTATATAACCAAATCAGAGTTTCAAGGGCTACCATTCTTTCATCAAATTCTAAAGGTCTATATTTTTCTATCTTGTGAGCAATTTTATTTCTGAAGAGCTTCTAGCTTTCTGCAGCAAACACTTAAATCAGAATGCTCTTCGTTAGCAAAGCACCCAGGGAAGATCTTTGTTAATTGAATTTTAAGTGGATAGTAAAATTGTTAGGGAGAATAGCTTCTAAAATAAAGATATAGCCAGAGATTAACTCTTTTTTATATACTTTGTGTTATGCTTTTTAAAAGAAATATCTGGCAGCTAATTCTATATCATATTTTTTTTTAATTAATCAATTTATTGGGGCTCATACAATTCATCACAATACATAGATCAATTGTGTAAAGCACATCTATACATTTGTTGCCCTCATCATTCCCAAAATTCTCTTGCCTCTTGGGTTCCCGGAATCTGCTCATTTTCCTTCCCCCCCGACCTTCCCTTCCTCCTCCCCTTTCCCCCATGCACCCTTAATAATTTATACATTATTTTTGTATCTTACATTACACTGTCCGGCGCCTCCCCTCACCCACCCCGCTGTGCCCGTCCCCCAGAGAGGA